TTTGGCAAAGTAGTCCTTACGTAGGAGAGTGTCAGTCTCGGGGTCCCAAACTCCGTGCTGCGCCCAGATACACTGTCCAAGCTTCCAGTCGGGATCGCGCTTCCATCCATATCGCGAGTCATCATAGCCTTCCGGTAACCATGCGATTTCGCCATGTGGGTCCACCAGTGTGCTTCCAGTTTTATACGGACCAAGGCCACCCATTTCCCACGTATCGACTTCACAAGCTCGTCCCATGCCAGTCAACATTGTCTGCCACATGGTTGGGCATGTACCTTTCTTCAAGGGGTGCTCTTTGGGGATCACGGTGAGATCTTTGTAGCCAGTCATGCCCTTGTTGGGCTCGTTCATGCTTTCCCATCCAATAACCACAACGTCCTCCAAATCGCCTGCCTCATGAATTCGTTGAGCAAGCTGACCGCACGCCCTCATAAAGTGATCCTGTAGATAATCTTGGATGTTCACGCCGTCAATGATACACTTTGGAGCAAAGTCTTTGCCAGCGAAGAAGAGAGTAAATATGGTGCCGGCTGCAAGTCGGTAATAGTTTGTCGACCAGATCATTTTTGGAAACTCGTCGGGGTTTGGGTAAGTATTGTGTACAATAGCAGCTTCGGTCGCAGCGAAACTCTGGGGGTTAAGACCGCACGCATACAATGTCCACAACGGCGCTCCCGAGCCACCGGTAAAACGAGACCAAACGTCTTGATGGGGGTCCATAAAAATATAGAAACCGTATTCTTTTGCTATCCTCAGGATATCAATGGTATGTTGTATGAAGTCCTCGTCATATTTGCCTGGCCCCGCCGCTTCAAGCGCCTCCCATGTGAAGATGTAGCGGATTGTGTTGAAGCCATATCGCCTCAGGCGTGAAAAGTGAGATCGCGCATCCTCCTTTGGGAAGGGACGTTGGCGAAAGGATACATTGTCGCCGTCGAAGAAGTCGGTGGGAATATGAGACGGTTGGTCAGGTTCGCTGGGGAGTTTGGCATCGGCGGCGAGGTTAATACCACGGAGGACGACCTGGCGACCGTGACTGTCACGAAACTGGCCGTCTTCAATCAACAGGCGGAAATACGACATGGTTTGTTCTCTACTATCGACGCCTTTGTTGGTGTCGAAAGAGCGGGATGGGGGAGAAAGGAAGAAATTGGGAACAGCCCAGACAAGCCAAGTAAGTCGGCTGGGGGGCAACACTTGACGATGACGTTCGAGGCTTGTCTCCTGGGGATGACAGGGATAAGAGGACCCCTGTTAGTAAGCGGATGCGAGGCAGTCGGTCAATAAATGTATAAAGATAAGAATAGTAGAGCGACTGGATAGTTACTTGCGTAACCCTTGAATTAGAGACGAGGACGATATCAACTGGTACACCGCAAACTGACTACCTCATGATGGTATACTACAACTTATTAGTCTGATCGAGGTCATGAGGGTCATTGACATGAACCGTTCATCACGTCCCATCTCCCTCCCCCACCTTCCGGGGTTTAACATGAACCCGAACATCAACCGACTAGATCCGTATTCGCTCTAGCAAAGGTGCGAAAATACCAAAAGATCAACCATAACCAACGTAAGTCACTTTCAATAAGATGAGTAGATTGAAATGGATTGAATATTTGCAGATGTCATTTTAATAAGCAGGAGCTATAGATTTGAGTCAGAAGATAACAGTGTAGAAAGACAGAGTGATCAGCAACCAGGATTATAAGCATAGCACTGTAATCAAAAGTGTTTAAAACAATAACCCCATCAACAGTTTAATCAAGAGTAAAATCGAGTCTGCAAATCCGCGGATATAGAACGCGGATAAGAAAACAAGACATATTCCCATTTGCACGGTCGTATTCGTCATTAAAGTGGCCTTGGCTCTGTTTTATGCGCTAAAACCAATGCCGCTCCCAGAAAAGTTTAGTCATCCCAGATCTCATCATGTCCGTGTAAGCGAAGCAGCGCATGTCCGAGAGTCCGCACCGCACATTACGAAAGGCTCTATTATCTCTCGGGTCAGACAAGGTTTTATGCTATATTTGTTTAATTATAATTGTGCGACTAACTGTTAGCTCAACCTCGTAAAGATCCTTCGTGTGTGTATGCGTGAGACTCGACGGTGTTTTTTTTTTACTAGACAATACCAAAAGACCATTTTCTTTCGTCAGCTTCATCCTTCTTTCTCACTCTTACGTTAACCTTTGTCTGAAACTTGGTCAGATACTAAGCTCGATCAATGACAGACTGATTACTTTGACCGAAACAGGTATAGTCCTTCGGACTCGCAAATCGGACATTTTACGCAATTACAAATGCGAAAACCCGCTGGCCGTTAGTTAACTCCGCTAGGTCACTCACTTATCCATGCCATGCCGTCCTTCCTTCCCAACTCAACAAATCCCCCATTTCTTTTTACGTGTATCAACCTAGTTCTAGAAGCTCTCTTTTTCCAGCTCCAGAACTATTGTTTCAGCTATCGTCCCTTATCTGTCGACGTTTCTACTTTTGACGACTTCTTTCAATACCTGTCACTGACCCACACCCATTCGTCGGCACTTCTGCCATTCCTGTTGTGGCTCGCACTAATAGACCAGCAACTCGAATCACCCCTACGATTATCGCTTTCTCTGTCTCGGTAGGAGCTGGGACTTGACGGAATCTGAATTTCGACTTCGAATTTATTCATTTTTGGGCTTTGGACTCTCCCGGTCCAAGTCTTGAAGCCGTCCGGCGCTTCCGCAGGACGAGTCGGAGACTTTCCCCGGTCTGCTCGGGAACGCTTCTAAAGGCCCATGACGACGCCTGAAGGGTTCGGGGGTTTGGATTTGGTGGTTTTTGCTTTTCTACCCGTCGCGCATTTACATAGCCTCTAAGGCAATATACGTGGCTTTGTCAACGTCGACATAATACCAAAATATACGGATATTATACAATGCTAAAAGGTACTATGCGCCAGTCAACGACACCACAACCAACTGGACCAGAGAGCCTCTCCTCTTCAAGGGTCTCTAAACTCGCCAGAAGACCACACCGAAAGTCAAGGAATGGATGCTTCAACTGTAAGAGAAGAAAAGTCAAGGTAAGCTTTGCTCCGACTCAAACTATTTCAGACCTGACAAAAGTCCCTAGTGCGACGAGGTGAAGCCTGCGTGCGCCAACTGCGTACGCTTTGGCATTCCCTGCGATTTTGCACCTCAACCATTATCTAGCGACGACTCAGCTCACCAGAGATCTCCTCCGGAGATTCTCTCAGTCCTGGCGGAGCCTGCTGCGACACCACGTCGAGGCCCTGGCAGGCCGCGCAAGGATTGGGCTGCTCTCACGCGACCACCACCGCCGCCTCCGGCATCAGCATCAGACAGAGCGACGACATCTCCGTCTTCCACTTCAGCCACTCCAGCCTCCTCGTCTACAATATCAAACTCCCAGATATGCTCCCTTAATGTTGCTGACGCAGAGTTGCTATTCCACTTTATGGCCAATACCTCAAGGACGTTACATGATACTGATGACTCTACTGACGACATCGCGTCGTTTTGGGCCAAGAATGTCCCCCAGATCGGTCTCTCTTACCACTTTGTCCTTCATATGATGTATGCCCTAGCTGGGTACCATCTTGTTTATCAAGAACCGAAGGGAACGGAACGACATTCCCAAAACCTCGCTCTTGCAGCACATCATGCCGAGATTGGCATCTCTGAGATGAATAGAACGATAACAAACCTCAATGAGACAAACTGCGGTGCACTATATGTCGCTGCAGTCCTTGTCTGCTATTGTACATTCGCTGCCGGGCCGACGGGTCCTGATGACCTGCTGGTATGCGTTGTGGGCGATGGAATTTCGCAAAGGTGGCTTCCAGTTATTCACGGCGTTCGGTTGATTCGACAGAGCATCGAACCAGCAACACTCTTCACGGGTCTCATGGCTCCTTTCGGTGAAGGCGGCGCAAAGCCGGAGCTAGAAGACCCACGGCCCGAATATCTGGTAAAGGGGTTCTCTCACCTGGACTGGATTGAACCTCTTGAGAGGCTTAGAGTGTGGATCGCATCCCATGATAATCCAGACACCGCTTTATATCTGAGAGTTCACAAATCGCTTTGCGATGTGTACGAAGCCAACTATGGCAACTTAAAAGGGGTTATCGAAGTCCCAATCTCTAACAAACTTGTGTTTGGGTGGCTTTACCGGATGCAAGACTTGTTTGTCGGGTGTCTCCAGCGTAAAGCGCCACAGGCACTACTTCTTTTGGCGTATTACGTCCCATTATTCAAGACAATGAAGCAGTGTTGGTATTTGGATGGCTGGGCGGCGCATTTGCTTGACAGAATAAGGGGGTTACTGAGTGCGGAGTTGTTGGGCTGGCTAGATTGGCCCGTAGGCATGTCCCTACAGCCCGAGGTTATATAAGATATATAAGGTAAAGTTAGAATCAAACCGGATAACAAAACTTGACCTCGAAAAGAATTGTCTCTGATGAGATGCGAGAGTCTTTAGAAATGGATCAACAGTGCCCATTGGTATCATTGTAAGGGTTTTACCGTGTCGTATTTGTGGAAAATGTTCACAATTATAGTGAAGAAAGACGCAATAGCTGTAGCAGGAGCATACTTATTGCTGAGGGGGGCTGTAGATATATAAGAATATGGCTGAAGGCCATTCTCAGATACCCCAGCTCGGCCACGTCCGATATGACATACGCGTGATTTATGCCAAACGCCTCAGCCGTTCCCGATGTATCCGCCTCAGCCAACGACGTCAGTCCCTTTACGAAAACTCGACATCAAATGCGAAAACCGCTTGATAGTTCCACCTCATTCTTCGACCATTAGAGAAAGGTGTGAGCGGCTTTGGCAATTATACTATCGATTTCCCTGTATCCACGCCTGGTATGTAACCATACATGAGCGAAATCTGCTCTATTCGCGTATTGGTCAATACCTCGGCAATCCCCTCCAACTATGTCGATGGAGGAAAACTGCATCTTATATCTACTCGGTCTTGATTCAATCAAGCTCGTGCGACTTATCTCCAGCCGGGTATATACCAAAGATGCGGTACCGCAGTGTATAATACACCGATTTGCCCACTTCGTACAAGTAGTTGACAATGTCCTCCAGGCTCAGATTGCAGTCAGAAGGGTCGAATACACAATCCATTAGCCTCCCAGGGCCAGATATCCGGTCTCGTCGTACCCTCAGTGGTCCTGAGTGACGCCAGGTGCTGCGGATCACTGATCCTGGCATTGGCAGTGGCTCCCCGATCATGGCCGACCAGACCTCTTCAGCATATCCGCGATGTGGCGCTTTCTTGATGTACGTCACCCTAACATTTTCGAATACGATATCCTCGGTAGGTAGCCATCTACAAGTTCTGCAGTGCGAATGATATGTGACTGGTTCTGCGAAGTGTCGATGCTCATGGTAGTGGATAGAATGACAACTCTCAAACTTCTCAACATGGCATTTTGTCGAGAGTAATTTCCAGCCGATGGAAGTTTTAGCAACCTCAAATTGTACATCTGATCGATGATAAGTTGGACTCCGGATTTCTTCTGCATAGCGATAAGATCGATGACGAGATCGACTGCGAGTATAGCTTCTCCTGCGTCGGCGGGAGGCACGACGACAATCCGACCTGCTCATGATGCTGGACAATGAATCATATTCACTGTGATAGGTAGTATGAGAGGTGTAAGTCCTCTCTGAGTAGATCGTTCTAGTGCCATGGGCGGCTTCTTCAGGCCTTGTCCTTGTTGGTGTGTCCCTGATGGTTCTGGTGGGCTCCGATGGCATTTCTTCGATTGAAGCTTGTCTTTGCGAAGTTTTAGACCACAGGACTAACTCGAGCGATGACTTGGAACAATAGTTTCGACAGCGACGACAGCGTCTTCCAAGCTCCTGGCATCGTGCACATTTTCTTCTGGGTTTTGTACAAGATGACTCAGGCTCTTCGTTGTACAGGTCAGCCTCGCCGTCGTTATCGATATCTCGGAAGATATCCTCATGTAATGTATCCATGGTGGCTCCGCAACTCAAATTTGTAAAAGATGCTTGGAAAGTTATCGAGGTTGGGTAAGCAGAGGTTTAAAGGGAGTCACGACCAGCAAGTACGGTGCAAAGTATTTCGGCTTTATTTACTTTTTAAAACCTTATGCTTTTAGTTACCGAAAAAAAGGTTCTCTCAAAAGCCTGTCTCTTTTACCAAGTTCATAAAATAGGTTTTCTTAATAATAGCAGGTAGGTGCTGTTATCAAGGTGCCAGCCAGTAGGTAGTAATCACATCCATTATTCTTTGGAAACTACTATTGGGTACCTGCCTACATGTTTCACCCAAGCAGTACGCCTTGTTTAATTGACACACTCAAGTATACATGGTTTTTATTTAGCTACAATGAACTGTATTGGTTGCGCTTTCTGATGCTGTTTTCCTATTGGCTAGGGCGAACGATATCACTGCCTGCGTTTCTGCCTAAGAAGCCAAGTCATTCTGAAGACCAAAGCGCCCTTGAATTAGGTTTTTAATTCGACAAAACTTACAAGCTCAAGTTTCAATGGTCAGATGAGTTTGTTGGCTGCTAATTGCCAATACGATATATATGTACCCTCATCCTGTCTGTTAGCTTCCAGTACTTGCGTCCCGACCTACAACCTTAACCATAACTTTCGCATCTTTTCTTTCAAAATGGATTTCTTGTCTGAGCATTTCCAGCCACGGGATCCCTCCCTCGAGACCCGGCCAATCCCCCACAAGCGCTTCTTTGATACATGCGCGTTTGGCCCTGGTGCCGATCCGGCAATTCAAAAAACAGCCCGATCTGTCAGTGATGTGGACCTGAACATCAGACCCTCAGATTACAGTAATAACCCTGAGTTTGATAGCCAAGTATTCGAAAGAGAAAGGCAGTTCATGCCGTGGGTGCGCGATGAAGAAGACTGGCTGAGCTTTAGGAAGAGGACAGATGATGTCCGCAAGCTTCTTTCAGCTGTACAGACCTATCGAAACAATATGTCTGGTCCGCTCGGCTCAGAGATTACAGACCCAACATGGGGTTATTACATCTTTGTCACGTCTTACACAGACACGGCACATCAGAAGTTGGAGGCAGCCGTGGAAGCTTTGGTCCAACTTACACTCAGAAGTTTGAGACGTATGTCACCTTCACTTTACTCGGAAGAGGCATCCAAAAGATTCAAGCTCGATGTCATCCAGAATAGAGAGGCGCTAGAGAATGCGTCTGAGGACAGAGTCAGAGAAGAATTTCGTGCGCAGCTGAGAGGTTTGGGAATGCTTGGAGGCGATATCATGTTCCGAGGTATTGGTTCAGGCCGTTCTTCTGCGTGTATTCTTTTTGATGAAGATACAATCAGGGAGTTGTCCAAGTTATCGTTCTCCCTTGATGCGGAAGAGGATGATCTGCAATTCGGTGATGTGTACACGAGGATGATTGACCCCAAGTGGGATTATCCAACGCAGCCGTACCCAAACACGATTGAGGGCGGTGTACCCTATCGGGGAGCAGACGACTGCCCAGTTACTTGTCTCGCGGAGCTATATCGCAGAATGGATGGAGATTTGATGGAGGATTATCCCATGGCGGATGTCATGACCTAGATAGATAGTACATATATTCCTTGTCTTACCCTACAACCAAGATCTCAGTTGGGGCAATTAATACGGAATACCAAGTCGAGACATTTCCTCTATTCGTAAAATTCATTTCGTTGAGATATTTGAGTTTGTAAATGTATGTATTACATATAACTAGGCAGTATTGAAATGTTTGCCCAGTACTTAAGTAATATACCAAAATTTGTTAGTGTGATGATGAAGTAGAATAGCTGAGTAGAAATCATTGCTTGATTAACATGGGCGAAACCAGATGATGACGGTATATCTTCGGCTATCAGCCAATATCGAAATGACATAATTCATCCACTGGTCAGTTCCACCAGCAACAGTCTAGTCAGTGAATGTATGATCCATTCAATTAATGCCCATCTTGAAAAGCGTTGTCTTTCTTCTCCAGGCACATTTCGGAGACAACATTCGCTATTGAAGAGCAACAGTCGGTGGCCACTTGAAAGTATAATCACAGCCTCAGCACCTGAAAGTCAACAACAGCCCTCAGCTTAGTGGGGTCACCCTTAGGTTGCTCCAACATAACAGAATCTAGCTATAATGTCAGGGACAAAAGCTGCCCTCAAGGGCATCAATGACGCTATTCGCCAGCAAAAGTTCGATGATGCTGTGAGCAAAGCACGGGACCTTCTGGAAAAAGACCCCAAGAACTACCAAGCGTGAGGAACCCGAGTTCTCTGGGAGCTGTAGAACCCCGCCATGAGAAGCTCAAGCTGACCACATCTACAGTCACATCTTCCTGGCATTTGCTCTGGATAAACAAGACAGACTCGATCAAGCACAGGAGACTTATCGGTCTGCGACATGGCTTCGGCCCCAAGAAGCACAAGCTTGGCAGGGTCTGATTAAGCTGTTTGAGAAGCAAAACAACAAGAAGCTTGCAGATTATCACCAAGCTGTAGTCAATCTGGCCCAGATTTACCAAGATGTTGACGACATGTACAAGGCCCAGGACGTGGTGATCAAGTTTATCGATTTTGCTAGAGTAAAGGGAGACGACATTCAATACGCCGAGGCACTTTCCATACAACTTCCTGAAAGTCCACTGTATCCTATCCTCGAGGGCCGCTTCCCCCACCCTGCTAAAACGTATGAGACCGTCGCGCTCATCCTCGAGAAGTACGAGAAGCACCGGATAAACACTCTCATCGGAGAGCGACGAACCAAACTAGGTGCCAAGCTTTCTGAAGTCACTCTCGATGCCAAGCGTGAAGTTTACAGCCAGAGCAAACTGGAAAACATTTACCGACAGCTGATCAACTGGACAAACGATGACGATCTAAGAAGACAGTACGAGGAGAAGCTCCTGCAGCTTTGTTATGACCGTCTTCTGGTTGCACCATCAGGCGCTGAAAAGGATACAGAGCGCCAAAAGGTACTTGATCTGGCCAACGGCATGGTTGCCATCAAATATCCCTACAAGCTCGCTTGGGATATCTCTATAGAGTGGCAGGACAAGAAAGAGGTTCGAGAATGGGATGTCGACGTCCTTCGAGCTTATTGCTCCTTCTTTCCTGATAGCGACCTCTACAAGGTCATCACAAGCTATCTGACCAGCCCCATCTCGCCTTTCCCTCCCGAGAAAGCCCAAGAGAAGGCCAAAGCAGCCCCCAGTGACTCAGAGGAAAGCTCCGACGACGACGACGGTGGCGTTCCCACTCTTGTGGTACCTCTGACTGACGAGGATCGTCTTATCATGATAACCGAAGGCATTAGTACCGCAGATTCAGTTCTTGCATACAGACTTACAGGCCAATACCTCCTTCATATTGGAGAGTATGAATCGACCGTCGAACTTATGCGCAAGGGAATGACTCTGTTGGCGCAGGAGCGCAAGAAGACAGGTCTTTCGTTCGTCAATGCAGAAGACTCCTACTACCTTTCACTCGGAACAGCTCTGGTGTATTACCAATCACCTCGACATCATAAAGAAGCTAAGGAATTGTTCGACAAGGTTCTCGAGCGCGACACCACTTCTACTTCTGCTTTAATCGGAGTTGGCCTTATTTATGAAGAAGAGGAGGAATATGATGAGGCCATTGACTATCTCACCCGAGCTTTGCAACGTGACCAGACTAACATGAAAGTCAAGTCCGAAGCTGCTTGGGTCAAGGCGCTCAAAGGAGATTGGCAAACCGCAAAAGACGAGCTCCAGGGATGTCTTGAACCCCTGGAAAAGCAAGGAACTACTTCAAAGGAGTTGCTGGGTGAGACTCAACATCGCCTTGGCGTGTGTATCTGGAACATCGACACTAGCAAGGCCGCACGAAAGCAGCGAAAGGGAGAATCCGCATACGCATACTGGTTGAGCGCTTTAAACAACCATCTAAACCACGCACCTACCTACACATACCTTGGAGCATACTACGGTGATTACGCGAAGGACAAAGGTCGCTCGAGGCGTTGTTTCCAGAAAGCGCTGGAGCTTTCTCACGCTGAAGTGGTTGCAGCTGAGAGACTTGCTCGGTCGTTCGCGGATGACGGGGACTGGGATAGAGTCGAGCTCGTTGCCCGCCGTGTCGTTGACTCGGGTAAAGTGAAGCCACCACCAGGATCAAAGAGAAAGGGAATCAGCTGGCCTTTCGCTGCACTGGGTGTTGCAGAACTAAACAAACAAGACTTTCACAAGGCCATAGTGTCGTTCCAAGCCGCGCTTCGCATCAGTCCCGAGGATTACCACTCCTGGGTTGGCCTTGGAGAGAGTTACCACAGCTCTGGCCGACATGTTGCCGCTACGAAGGCGATTCTAAATGCCCAAAAGCTTGAGGAAGATACCGAAGCTGATATCTCTGGAGATACTTGGTTCACCAAGTACATGCTCGCCAACATCAAGCGTGAACTGGGTGAGTACGACGAGTCTGTCGCTCTCTACAGATCAGTCATCGAAACACATCCCGAGGAAGAGGGTGTCATCATTGCTCTGCTTCAGACAACAGTCGACAGCGCACTTACTTCCGTTGAGAAGGGCTTGTTCGGAAAGGCGGTGCAGCTTGCTACTGAGACCATCGAGTATGCAAAGACAACCAGTGGCAGCGCTTTCGAGACTTTTAACTTCTGGAAGGCCATAGCTGATGCGTGCTCTGTCTTTTCATCTGTCCAAAGCCGCACAAAAGACTTCCCTTCTGATTCCATTCGAGGTATTTTAGAGAAGGGCTCACAGGAAGCCTATGAAATCTTCGCCAGTATCGATAAAGTCGGCACTAATGTCGTTTTCGCTCAGGGGCTATACGCAGATGATGAGAAGCCCGGTGTAGACCTCACCCGATGCATCCATGCTACAATTCTTTGTCATAAGCAGGGAGTTCACATTGCGTCTAACGACCGCCATGCCCAGTCTGTTGCCTACTACAACCTAGGATGGGCAGAGTACCGCGCCCATATTTGTCTCCCACCCGAAATCAGAAAGAAGTCTAGCAGCTACATCAAGGCTGCGGTGCGATCGTTTAAGCGTGCGATCGAGTTGGAGGCAGGAAACTCTGAATTCTGGAATGCTCTTGGTGTGGTAACCAGCGAGATAAACCCTTCAGTCTCTCAGCATGCATTTTCTCGAAGCTTGTATCTCAACGAACGAAGTCCTGCGGCCTGGACCAACTTGGGAACGCTCGCTTTGTTAGCAGGAGATGTTAAGTTAGCCAACGAGATCTTTACGAGAGCTCAATCAACTGACCCCGACTATGCGCATGCTTGGCTGGGACAAGGCTTTGTGGCCTTGTTGCATGGCGAAACTAAGGAAGCTCGTGGACTCTTCACTCACGCAATGGAGATTGCAGATGCATCTTCATTACCTACTAGACGTCACTACTCGAGTTCTTTGTTTGATCACATTCTCGCAGTTTCTCCCAACGATGTCAATATAGAGTCTCTTATCCAACCACTCTTCGCTCTTAACCAACACCAAAGCCTCAAGTCACAAGATTTGGCCTTCACGCATATGGCAACACTGTTCCAAGAACGCACAAATGAGAGTAGCCGTGCTGTTGAGACACTTGAGAAGATTTCTTTAACCATTGAGGCTGACTACGAGAGCACCGAATCTCCTCAGAGCCTTGCTAAGTTTGCGTTGGCCAAGACCGATTTGGCACGAACTTACCTTGCATCCGGCTCTTATGAGAAGGCGGTTGAGTGTGGTGAGCTAGCTTTGGGACTGAGTAGCGACGATGCCGAGAACGAGCTTTCAAGCGAGCAACGCAAGAAGGCACGATTATCTGCCCATCTTACTGTCGGATTGGCCGAGTACTACCAGAACCGTTTTGATGAAGCCATTAAATATTTCGAATCCGCATTGGAGGAATCTGATGGTAACCCAGATGCCGTTTGCTTGTTGGCCCAAGTACTCTGGGCCCAAGGATCAGAAGAATCGCGAGACAGAGCTCGTGAAGAGCTGTTCGCGGTAATCGAAAAGCAGCCCGAGCACGTTCAATCAATTCTTCTTCTTGGTGTGATTGCTTTGTTGGATAACGATGAGGATAGCTTGGAGGCGGTTGTTGAAGAGCTACACGGACTTCGTACCAACCACAAAGTCACAGCATCAGAGCAGTCCGCCATTGGAGAAGTACTACGAGCTATCGCAACTCTTGGTGAGGGACGCACGGAAGAGGATATAAGAACGCAGATACAGACAGATATCATACTATACCCCAACTTGCCTCATGGTTGGGCTGCTATGGCCCAATCTGCAGGTGATGAGCATGCTGCTCAGATGGCACTCAAGGTAGCATCAAGAGGTATTCCCCCGAAGGGCCTCTTGGATGCTCAGGATCTTTCAAAGGCGTATGCAGGAACAGCAACAGCTGGCGACGCTCAACGAGCGGCATTCCTCGCTCCTTGGGAACAGAGTGGTTGGACATCACTTTCTGCTGCCACTGAGAGTGTTTGAAAGACATAGCGGAATAAGCGCTAGGGAAAATGAATCAGAATATAGAATAGCCACATGTCTTGGCGAAGTGTTGTCATGGATGGAGTGAACGTCAATCATGTATGAACTAGCCATTTTATAAAAGGGGTATCATGTATAAGTCATACACATCTTTCTCACGATCTTTGCCTTTCATTCTGCTGTATCTCCTCCTTTAACCTCGTCAATCTCCCATCCACCCAAGCTTTTTGCCATGCCTCAACTTTACCACCAAGCATAATGCACTTATCTGGCTCCAATAAAACCATACCTCGTGCAATCACAGTGCCAGCCTTGAGCAATATCTTTTCACCAATTTGCGTCTTTCCAACTCCGATACTATCATGGCGTCGTAGCTCCATTGCATATATCTTTGTTCCCTTGCAGTCCTGAAGCACAAGTTTGTGTGTCGCATTCTTGCCTACGGGTTTAGGACCTGCCGTATTGCGAGCTCCTCCGGGCCTTTGGGTCTGGTTTTCGTTGTTCTCATCGTCATCCTCTGCCGTGACACGGATGACCTCTCTACCACGCGTGGTCTCGCCTCTCGCCACAGCTTCCATCTCTTCAACTTGCTCCCACCGACTCAGTGTGAGATTCTCGATGTCCAGAACTTGAACGTGAACAGGCCTTGGGAGCCACTTCTCGCGGGATTCCGTCGATTCAGCATCTGGAGGAAAAGATTGAATAGCGCTTGTGTTTACGATTGCGCTGCTGGTCAGATCTGCTGCTAATAGCCTAGCTTTGGCCGTGGCTACGAGTGAAGGCATGGGTGGTGGAGAGCGTGCATTTATGAGCGAGTTGAGAAAGTTTGTTGATGGATGAGGGAGATTTTGAGCCAGTATAGAGGCTTTGAGTTGGTTGATAGGATCCATTTTGTTATTGCCTTATCATTGTATTGTTGCTCTTTTGGTGTAGAGAAATAACTACCAGATAAAGAGTTCCATTATATCTTCATAGCCTTGTGGTTGTAATGACGTTTCAGCGGCTGAAAGTGGACCATCCACTAATTTTAGTGTCGTGTGCCCCTGTATGACATAGTTTTGACCACTAATGGCCGTCTTCCACCGTGTCTTGTTCAGCTCGGGCCAGCCTTGTCAATCTCAAACTGTCGCTCAGCGCAATCAACCTGTCGTCTTACTTATCTTTCTCTTCTTCTACCCCTCGGATATACCTTTGTTATGTCGACTATAGCCTCTCCTCGTGAGCCTCCCCGGCGTACTCCGACAAACTCCAATCGCCCATCCTTTGAAACCTCTCGTTCTGCTGTCGCTTCTCCCGTCCTTACACAGGGGCCTACAAATCCTCCTGGCCCCCCTCAACGCAAGACCTCGTCCAACCGCGCAGCTCTAAGAGAGTATTACAATCTTCGCGCCGCAGCCCCACGCATCGAGATACCCGATTCTGAAGTCCCTGCTACGGAAATCGATGCCCATGATTTTAATGCCGATGAATATGTCACCAAAGTCATCACAAAGAGTAGTCTGGAAGAGCTCATGAAGCTGTATACACGTGTAGTAGGAGAAGTGCGCGCATTGGATGCGGAGAAGAAGGCCCTGGTATACGATAACTACAGTAAGCTGATTACAGCCACTGAGACGATTCGCAAGGTACATTGCCACGGTTTGTTCACTGCGTAATGAGATGCTTACCCAACACTAGATGAGAGCAAACATGGACCCCTTAAATCCTATGGCCTCGACCCTCGACCCAGCTATCGCACAGATATATAGTCAAGCATCCTCCATCCGAGATGCGGTCCGTGAAACAGTCCCTGCGCCAGATTCCGAACAAGGCAAAAAGCGAGAGGCTGTGGCCAGACAACAACGGACAAGAGAATTGGCGATCCAAGTCCTAGCAGTCCCTGAACGACTACGTACACTGGTCGGAGAAGGCAAAGTCGTGCAAGCGCGCAAAGAATGGATCATGCCACGGAAACTGCTGGAATCTTGGAAAGAAAAGGGTATTGGTGGTAACGATGTTGAAGAGTGTATCGAAGAGGGCGACGAGGCATTGAGGCAGGTCGATGCCAAGAGTAGTGCTTCGAGTCCAAGGATATCGAGGGACGAGAGACCATCAAGAGATAGTCGAGCATCAAAAGATGGAAGGTAGTACACGGCAGGTGATGATATACCCATGATTTTCAATAGCCTTTTGTTGCTCTAGCGCTTAACGACAATACATTTGGATTCTATTTTCTCACCACAACTCCTATTTGCCCTCTATAACTACACGACTATTTCTTTATACAGAATCTATTTCAGATCGTTTACATCCAGAATAGTAAACGGATCCTTGTCTACCTTGCTGGTTACAACCTCCACCTCGGGAACCGTTTCTCGGATAGCAGCCTCCAATCTGGGCCTGAGCACCTCCTGAAGGTATCCACGCTCAGAGTTGCTATGGAAGACCTGCACCAATGTGCGACCCTGCTGGATGGCTCTCAGGGCCGAGTGGTGGCTCGTTTCGCCAGTCACAATCAGGTCAACGTCGGCCTTCTTGAGGACATCATAACCACTGCCAGCGCAGACGCCGAAGCTGCTGACCTTGGTGGTCTTGATGTCAGCGCCCACAGGACTTGCTACCATGACATGCTTGAGGCCGCCGAGATTGTCAGCAAGACGAAGGATGATGTCAGAAAGAGAAACGGAGCTGTCAAAGTGACCAATTGCGCCGTAGCCTGCACCAGAGTGACTGGAAGGGGCATTGGTGGCAGGAATCGCAACAGAGCGTTTGCTCTCGTGAGGACCGGATACAATATCGGCGAGCCACGTGTTGAGACCCTCAGGAGCAGCATCAACGGCGGTGTGGGGGCAATAGACAGCAATACCAGCCTTGGTCAGCTTCAGAAGGGTGGCTTGCTGAGGGTCATTGTTGGTGATAGACTTGAGGCCGCCAAAGATGAAGGGATCTGATGATATGTCAGTGGGATTGGTTACATATCGGATTTTAAAGACATATGAGACTCACGGTAGCTGACAATGACGCTGACATCTTGCTCAATTGCGTCCATAGCAACTTGATAAGTCAAGTCATTGGTAACCAAAACTCGCTTCTTCTGTTTGGTGTCTTCTTCCGAGTTTCCAACCAGCAGTCCAACGTTATCCCAACTTTTGTCTGCAATCTCTTCCGGGTACAGCTTTTGCATAGATAAAACAACAGCCTTGGTGAAGGATGAAGTCTCAACCTGCCAGGCTCCCCAAGCTCCACTGCCGCTCATTTTGGCTGAGTGTGTTTGAAGGGATGGAATTGAGTTGCTTGGAGAGTGACAGGAGGAGCAAAGTCTGCTTGATCCGTTATTTAAAATGGGATATCTTGTGACAGGTGTGAAGAGTAACTGAGGTGAGCTGTGTATAAGTTGTCTATTCAATCTAAGAACAGAGCCTCTCATAGCAACTGTGATTTAAACACGTGTGATATGTGCAGCTACCAATGGGAGAATTGATGTTAGTTATATGGTCCTCTTATGGATTGGTGATGATCAATTGGCAGATGACTGGGACTCACTCACCAATTATATGCGTTGGATAGTCTGGGATAAAAGGTGAAGCCAGAAGCTGTTGGAGCTTGGAGCCAAAAGTAGAAACGAAGAAAGGGTCCAATGAGCTCATACCGTGTGTAATGATTCCTCAGACTGTGATTCAAAACGCCTGGAAGCCTCTATCTGCCCGCCTGGATCGGACCGTCTCACACTGTGCAGCCACTACCCCACGATGATATCTAATCAATCAATCAATTAATTAATTAACCAGAATCTCAATGCCCTCCTCCCTTCAACTCGCTCATTCATACCCTCCAACTCTCTTGCATTCTACCCTAGAAACAATGTCGTCGCAAATCACAGACGAGTCTCTGCGTGAGGCTATCAAGCAGCGTCTCGAAGCCACACACGTTGAAGTCACAGACATGTCTGGTCAGTATCTTCCCTCGCCTCTCTACCCCGCGAACCCCTCCAAGCCGATCACGGCGTAGAACCTGAGGGCTAACGTAAGCAATTATCGCAGGCGGCTGTGGTCAAGCTTTCAACTCCCTCATCGTGTCTTCCCAATTTCAGGGTCTCAACTCTCTCAAGCGCCATCGCCTCGTCAATGCTGCCCTCAAGGAAGAAATCGCCATCATCCACGCTTGGACCGCCAAGTGCCAGACACCTGAAGAGTACGCAAAGACCAAGGAAACAACCGATGCGCCAGCGCAGGCATAAGCTTTCTCCTTCTTCTTCAAAATACTAGAATCATACAATATGGGGTTTTTGCGTAAAGACGGGCATGCGACAGACACAAGGGATGGAAGAACAAGAATGCAATGAAAGGATTTAGATGACGAAATATCCGTATCGGAGCCGTTTGATGCCACGATACATTACGAGGAAACAAAATATCAAGAAATCAACTTTATAATTAGGACACCTTTATTGACAAGCAGTCGAAGAGATAACAAGATGGTTCGGTCGAGGTAGTCATTTCATCTTTTACGCTAACACCATATCTTCCGTGAAGACGTCTCGTTACTCATACTCCTTTGTAAACCAACAGGCATCTCTTAGCTTCAAAATCATCTACATGTACACTTCTACAACAGACCCAGCAAGTCGTCACTATCCTTCTTGGGCTGCAGAGGTGCATCTCCCTGGGCCTGCTGCAGCTGCATCGCTGCTGGTAGCGGCTCGCTCGTTGATGCACCACCAAAATTCAAGCCCTCAAATCCATTCATCAAGTCATTCATGTTGTTGCTGGGTCCTGCAGCTGAAGAAGAAGCCCCTGTGCCCGAAGGTTGCGCCGGCGCATCGAACATGCTCATCATGTCGGCCATAGCCCCTGAGGGTGCACCAGCAGATGGGCTGGCCACTCTGTCAGGGGTTGCGGAAGCACTGTTCTGCTCATGGGAAGCAGGCGCGGCACCATCGAAATCAATGTCGAGCAAGTTCTCAATGTTGTTCTGTGCAGCACCGCCAGACCCGTTGGGTGAAGCAGTGGCCACTGAAGCGGCGATAGGGTTTTCGGCAGCGTTTTGTCGCTGCTCCTGGATAGCAGCTCGCTGGATCTCGTCGGCACCGAAGCGACCCTTGCCAACGAATGACTCTGGAGGCTTGTGGTAGACTGAAGCAAGAGTAGAAAGTTCGGTAAGGAGCTGCTCCAAGAGAGCGGGTGGAAGACTTGTCATCGTAGTTGTGATGGTAGGCTTTTGGGATAGGACAATGCTCTGACAAACAGCGTTAGTAATGGTCCATAGTCATATTCTATGCTCCCTTACCTTGGCAACTTCGGGGTCCGAGGAAAGAAGACGCCAGTACACATATGCCCTATCGCGGATATCGGGGTTATCGTTCTCCGCTGTAGCTGCCTGAAGAACCTTTTGAACCAGATTTTGGCTACTGCCAGGCTTTTTCAAGAATAGCTTCACCACAGCTGTCAATATTTGCAATTGTGTCTGAGGTTCTGTTAGTAGGAGACTTGATGGAGGTAGTATATCACTCACCTGTGTGAACTCTTCCATGAAAGACTCGACAAAGCTCTCCAAGATCTCATCTGCATTGTTGATCTTCTCAGCGTATTCACCAACGATCCAGATAAGAGATCCACGGGCGGTAGGCTCGTCCAACTCATCAATGTGCTTGCAGAGCGTAGGGATAACACCTTCATAACCAGGGTATTTTCGGAGAATATCCTTGATGACCACAATTACCTCCTGAACAACGTAGTTGACCTTGGTAGAGATGAGGTCCTCAAGAGCCGCAACACACTTCTCAGCAGCGTTCTCGATCTTGATGGCCACCTGGCCAATAGCCTTGACAGCTCTTCGGACGAAATCCATATCCACTTCTAGGGCGTACTCTTTCAACTCAGCGAGAAGTTGCTCGTAGTTGTGCTCATTCGCTATCCTGACCATAATTTCCAGCTTTTGCAGCTTGACGTATGGTGGGTCAGTGTATTTACAGAAGAAAACGCGCATCTCCTTGCTGAGAATATCTGGCTTGGCTTGCAGTAGGAGATCAATGTTGCGCAAGGCAACGTATTGAACCTCAGGTTGCGAAGCGACCAAGGTAACTAATTACTATCAGTCATGAGCTTGAATGGTGTTGACATATACATACCAAGAGGAGGCGCCATCTTCTTGAGGTATGACCTCACTGACTCAGGGTTCAGAGCCTTCATGTGAATGAAAACAACCTTAACGGCAGCAAGAACCACACTAGGGTTGACATGCTGGAATTGAGGTGCTACACGCTCACAAATGTGCTCAGACTCCTTCTGGTCTGACGCAGAGTAGTCTGCCAGGGTCGTCAAAATAGTAACACGTCCCCATTCGGTACACTCGTTAAGAGCCATAAGCAACTTCTTCAGCGTCACGGGAGTAACAATCAATGCCCTTGTCTCAGGCGCGGTCTCGGTGATTTCAGACAAAGCGGTCACTGAGTTGGCGACAACCATGGGATTGGGGTCGCCAATCAGTTCCTGGAGAGCCTCCAAGAAGCCATTTTCAATACACATCTGTGGGTTGAGGTCAAACAATTTGGCGACGCAAATGGCGGCCGTCTTGCGTACGTATGGCGATTCGTCTCGTAGCGTCTTTCTCAGGGGCTCCTCCATATAATCCACCATTTTGTCTACTCTGATGCACCCCATTGTTCGGATCGCGAGTGCTCTTATCAGGGGGTTTGGATCTTCGGAATCTTGGACGAAAGTGTTGACGGCGAGAATGCAGAGATCGGGATGCGATTTGGCGTAGTTCCTGGACGTTCATGTCAGCTCTCTAAACCCACCGCACGATGCGTAGACAGCTGTAGAGCTAGGGGCCAGCTCGACAGCTCTCTAACCTCGACTACGTACATTAGGTAAAGGTATACAAGCTTCTTCTGATCAAGATCGCCGGTCGCAATGTTCTTGAGCACGTCAGGGAAGAGTGCCGACACATCTTTGCCCAGCGTCATGGCCATGATGGTCTTTTGGATCGACTCCTTGCGCTCGTACGCATACTGCGAGACCAGACCAGCGCGCAGTTCAAAGGTCTCACCCTTTCGAGGCACGGCAAAGGCACCCTTAATGCGATTTACCGCCATCGTCGAGGGTTTTGGAGGGGTACGTGACGAAGCTCGAAGGTGTAGAGGTTGAGATTACGTTGATGTCCAGGACGGACGGGCGGTGACAGCTAAGTCGAATTGGTCAGGTCAGGTAGAAGTTACTTTTCCTCCTGGGTGGAAGCCTGCATCCACCAAATATTCTGCGTATCGGAGGATGCGTCAAAGATGCGCGACGTCGTCGATGTTATTAGATCGGAAAGGAGTTGATCGATCTGAGATTGATTAAGGCAGACGTAACTGTCACCAAGGATGCCAAGGCCACGAAGATATGTCCAGGCCACCTCCACTGAGTTGCGAGCATGAGCCACTAAAGGGGGCACACTACAGTGGCCCTGTCAGCTCCCATAAAGCTGGCTGCCCCCTAACTCTAAACTTCCGCCTGATTACCGTTCGCGGTAGCGTGGCTTCAATGGCTAACAATTTATTTTTTGCCTAGCTTAGTCACCTTCTTCTCATTATAGAACGTCTAGATACATCATCACAAGTCAACGACCGAATCACCTTACACGAATGTGTTGGTCTATTTGATAGTAGAAAAAAACATCGTTTCCTAGAGTTTTGAACGAAGATTTTTTACTCAAATCCAATCCAAAATGGTGAAAAAGGTTGTGTTGGTTGCCCTGGCACAAAATCTAACGAGAGATAGGCATTGCCAAACCTGCGTCGACTCTTTATCGAGTCACGTACAGACGATGAAGAGCGAGACGTGTCCAGAAAAGCGGTACGTTTATCTGGTATACGAGCCTAGTGTGTTTTCTAACGGAGGGTACCTAGTTTTACAACGCTGTTCTCTTTATGGGATCAATCGCCGTTTTCAGTCTCATTGCTCAAAAATTGAACGCTGGGAAATGATGAATACATGTTCAATTCTTTCGTACACTTGGAGCGAGGCGTCATTGTTTATATTGATCGGAATACCTGAGCAGATAGCCTAGCTCTAATCATCGGCTTCTTCTACGTCTTCTCCTTGTGCCTTTGCCCCGTCGTTGTTCTCTTTCTTCGAAGCAGCCTTGGCTTCTTGCTTGTGCCAAAGACCAGCCAAAAAATCGTTTGTGCTGGCCTCTTCAAGACTCTTATCCTCTCTTTTCTTCATAAATCTTGGGAACCTCAGACTCAACCCTCTTTCTTCACTCACAAGCCCAATCGCAGCAGTGTAGGTTGGACTCAGCGTAATATCCGCAAACGCCATTTCCCACACTTCCTGTGGCTCGAACCAGATATCGGGTCTTGGACCCGAATATTCCACAAAACTGGGCTGGGTAGTTCTCGTATTCTTGGGCTCGCCACTCTCTTCGCCATCGTCATAGAATTGCCGGTTGGCCTTGTAGAAGCTATCCGTGAACCCAGACATGCACTTACACACAGCTTCCAAAGATCCTGTCTCCTCATTGCGACAAGCCATAAGCATAGGCGACCACCATTTCGCCTTGCGTCCCTGTCCGTGCCAGGCAGCGACAGGTATGAGATCAAGTGTGTCAAAACTTGAGTTGTAGTCTTTCTTGACCTTGAGCCAAGAGTCAAGTCGCTTATCTGGCTCATACGTCGCCAGTAAGGGTTTGCGTCTTGTTTTCACCTTCTCTCCATTTTCATCTTTCTTGCCCCTCGACTTCCCTTTTCCTTTCGACTTTGATCTTGGTGTCAATGTTCTGTCAGATGCTTCTGGTCCCTCTTCTTCTCCGTCTCCTAAATACGGCACTGAAGGTAAATTGTCAAGGATCTTCACCATGATCCCTTCGCACTTGATATCTGTGGCAGCTTTGAAGAATTCAAGAACAGACTCCGAATCTGCAGAAGTAGCATCAAGGCTCTTGACCCAGGTAAAATGGTGTGGTATCTCTTTGAATAGCGATCGTATAAGTTCCCGCCTCTCTCGAAACGGCCGATCCAGCAGTGGCTGTCCGTTTAGGTACATCAAATCGAACGAGAACATGCAGACATCCACCGTAATAGCTCCGATGTCAACATCTTTCCTCGCTCGATTTGTGAGTGTCTGGAAATTTTTGAGTTCTCCAGTTTCGCGGTCAACGGCCACAACTTCACCTTCCATGATGAAACTATCAACACCCTCTCCACGTATCTTCGGAATCAACTCGACCAAGTCGGGATATTTATCTGTCATGACTTCCAAATGCCGAGAGAAGATGCTGACTTTTCCATTCTCGTCACAGTGTATTTGGGCTCTCTGGCCATCGTATTTGAATTCGCAGGCAAAGTCTCTTCCCTGTAGTTTTGTGAGCATCTCAGATAGGTCCCTCGTAATGCTCCCAAGCATTGGACGTAGAGGAATATGGAGAGTAAGGCCGCATCGTATTAGTAGTTCCTCGGAAATACCAATCTCAAGAAGTACTGGGACAAGATCGTTATAGTTTGGACGTCTTGCAAAGCAAGCCTTGACTATTTCCTCAGCCCGACCCCAAACTTCGGCCAGATCTTCTTTCTTGAGTTTGGCTAGATCGGTCACCGACTTTAGAGAAAAATCGGACCCTGTTGGACGCGAGAGTAAGAAGGCTCGTGATAATGCGATCAGCATTGTTGTCTTGACAGCACCGATACGAAGCTGCTTGATGTTAGACAATGGCCGATTACTGCAGCGATAGCTATGCTTACATGTTGACAAAGAGTTCGCACAACAAATCTGCTCTCCTCTCCACCACGGGCGTCTTGAAGAAGACGATCGACTATTCTCTGCTTGGTATCTGCACTGCCCTGTCCTTGACTACTGGCAATCTTTACCAAAGACTCGTAAACAGACTTGATTGTTAGGGGCTTTGGTTTCCTGAGTGTGAAGCTTTGTTTCTTCTTGACCTCGAAGGCTACATCTCCAGCATCACCGTATTTATCATAAATAGCTTTCAGAGCCCGGTTATCAAGCCCGCAGGCGTTCCGCAACGCTTTGGATATCGCTGAACCACCCAACCCTAGTTCCATTGAGACATAGGGAGGCGAGATGGCATTGGTTGCTAACCAGACCTATCCAAGTCAGAAAAGCAGAGTGAATGACGGACAGGGACATACTGCTGGTAAGAGACTTGCCGGGTCACCCTCGATAAGAACTCTTAAACAGTTCACAAGTGTGTCTACGATTTTGATTCGACTTGTGGTACCGTTGATAAGAATGAAGCAGCGAGTGAGCAATGCATATGATGCATTGCCTCCTTCAGAGGCCCAATGTTCCTTCAATTTATCCACATATTCGGCTGGGTCGAACGTCAGAGGCGACTCGTCAAAAGGTATCGAAGTCGTTGTTGTATCCTCAGCCATACCCGCAGCTTGAAGGCCAAGTGTGGGCTTTGCCTTGTTATCCGTACTGGGCTTGTTCAAAGCCGTTGGGAGAGAAATGGATGGTTTAGATTTGGTCGATGTTGGACTTGGGCTTTCATCTCGGGATATTGACACATTGTGCTTATTCGGAAGTTGTAGAGTTTGTTCCTGGAGCGCGGCGTGCGGAGTATTGGCAACCTCTTGATTCCATTCAGCCTGGAGCTTCCTAGCCAATTCCTCATCGGTCATTTCCGCCGGCACATCACTTGATGCACCATTATATTCTTCTAGCTTCGGCTTCTTGCTAGACTCTGCTCCATTTTGTTTTTGCTTTGAAAAGAAATACTCAAGACCTCTAGCCGGTGCCGTTGATTTGGTGCCGTTATTGAGCTTCCGTTTCTTGGTTGGACTGGGCATGACGGAAATAAGCTGTATTTTTTATGTTTTTTATCCATTAATTTTGAGAATTTACCGTCAATCAGCAGTTGTAAACAGTAAAAATGCATATTCACGTCTATTATGACTTGTCAATCCAATACGCGGCGCATCAATGACGACGTTTGGCGCGAAGCCACGTGACGATACCTGAGCTCAAGAATCAGGAACCAGCCCGCTACTCGACGCTAAACCTTTTTTATACGCACAGCACAGCACAAACGATTCATCTCACACAACGTCGAAATCTTTGCTCTGCCCCACCATCGCGAACCTCCCCCCGACATCCCCCTCATAACGACCCCTCCCCTATATACCGCCACCATGAACGGAGAAGACCCGCCGGAGAGACCTCAGGAGATCTCGTCCATCATCAACGGACTTGAGCGATACAACCCCGAGGCTGTTGGCGCTCTCGAGACCTACCTTCAGGACCAATGCGAGCAGAAGTTCACCGACTGCAATGCCAACCGAACACTACTGAAGCTGTGAGTGTACTGCTTTTTTGTCACTGTTTTCTATAATCTGGGCTTTATATGATGACCGTTTGTCAACGTTTCCTATTACCTGACTAGTGTCGGCGGGTTGTTCTCAACTTGGCCGCACCTGAAGTCAACTATTAGTGTGCCTGAAATGCCCAATATCCTGATTGACTTTGTTTTCACCTTCTCAGCTCGGGACTAACCCCCTTCCAGGTACCAGCTCAACCCTGACCGCATCAAGGATGAAGTCATCACCAACGTCCTGGTCAAGACCATGACCCAGTTCCCCTCCGCGCAGTTCTCTCTCGCTCTTCACCTCATCAACCCCTCCTCTGCCGTCACTGGCGACCTCGGCGAAGCCATCACCAAGCTCCGATCCCTCAATGGTCAACTTGAGGGTGCTCAGTACTCCCGCTTCTGGGCTGACCTCGACGACGACATGGTTGCCGATTTGATTGCCGACATTCCCGACTTTGAGGAGGTTGTCCGTCACCGCATCGCCCTCCTTGTTTCACAGGCTTTCCGTGAGATCCAGATCGGCCACCTCGAGTCATGGCTCGGCCTCAACGAGGACGCTACCAAGAAGTTTGTTACTGAGATTTGCGGCTGGACTGTCGATGCCGAAGGCAACGTCAAGGTTCCCTCAAACCCCGACAACGAAGCCAAGAAGGCTGAGATCCGTGAGGACGTCAACGTCGAGCAGTTCTCCAGGGTGCTCCGACGGTCATGGGAGGACACTGTTTAGGCTTTTTCAGAGTTTTAGCGGATCAAAAGGGATTTCTCGTGCACTTCCCCCCATACGATGGGATTCGGACATGACGACCCATGATGTGGAAAGGTTAGGAAGGGCTCACATGGTAGCATGGCGGGGCATTACAAAAATCTAGGCGTTTAATCGGACATGTCATTCCAGAGCAATCCAAGGATCTAGAGATGCATAGAACCTTGCGATTTGTTGATACATCGTATTTGGCTCACGTGTACCACGAAATTATGTGACGGCTGTTTACAGTGCGTTTGATATCCCGCTATATTCTTTATCCAATGTGCCCAAAATTGTCTAGTTGCCCTTTGACAGTTCTTCCCATTGTACGCCAGCCCATTCTTCCTCATATCCAACTTGACCAATTGGTGTTCCTCTAGGAGAGCAATCCTTTTCACACACGCCAACAATAATGGTACCCCACTCCATGCCCTCCAGGCTCAGGTCGTCGGCCTCAAGCTCCGCAATGGCATTTGGCGTCAACTGTACCTCAAACACTCTTCTGGCTGTGCAGTTAGGACATCGAGGAATAGCGCCCTTGTTAATAGCTACACCAACAGCGTCCTTCTTTGAGTACAGCAGGGGAGTGCCTGCAAACTCATATCGAATAACTTGGTCGGGATTCTGCGCTAGACGATCGGCGAACTTCTGGAATGCGGCATCCATAGACGACTCGAAAGCTTCACGGTCGATTATCGAAGGCTCCGCAGCGTCAGCGGCTTCCATACGAGCATTGGCAGGAACATTCGTGGTTGTGGAATCCAGAGTCTCAAAGTCGGCATCGGCGAGATACAGAGTAGGGTAAGGTTGTGCCTGAGCATCCTCCGCAGGCCAGGGCTCAGAGGGAGAAGGTGGTGTCACCGGGGTATCTTTGATGTTAAGAGATTCGGCAAAGCTTTTTGTGAGTGAGGCACCTTCTGGCTTATGAGGGGCAGATTTGGCTGGCTCTGGAGAAGCAGGCTTGGACGGCTCAGGTTGTGAGTTGGAAGAAGAGAAAGGGTTGGCAGATCCAGAGCTGAAGGGGTTGCTGGAGGTGCTGAAAGGGTTGGCATTACTGGAGAAGGGGTTTGCGTTGGAGGCATTGCCCAAGCCCTTTGAACCAAACAGTGTGTCGCCCAGTCCAGGTCCGTCATTCTTTGGCTTCTCTTCCTCAACCTTCTTCTCCTCCTTGGGTTTATCCTCCTTCCATACTCGTACACTTCTCAATGCACGAATGCTGCCCTCTTTGCGCCGACAGGTCTGTCGCCTGCACGCAAAGACAAAAAGTCGTCGCTCATGCTCAGGGAATCGCTCGGGAAGTTCACCGTTGAGTTGAAGTATCAATGCCATGAAGTCCTTGCAGACTTTGCATCGTGCGTAGGCTGCGCTGGGAGCACTGTTATCTAACCAGTCCTGGCTCCATTGTTAGCAACCATGAATTTGTCAAGTGCGGGACAGGTCAAAAACTTACAGGGCGGCCGCCGAGTTTGCTAACAATGTCTTCGTCTGCTTCTTTAGAAGCATATCCGAGAAGGACATTAGTCTCCTCGAACTCGCCATCGGAAGAATCAGAATCGTAGGAAGCCATATTGCTGATAATGATGGGGTTGATTGCTAGGTGATGATGGTGGGGTAAATATTTTTTTTCTCTTTCAAAAATGCGAACAATGCGGGGCTTAGCGTCACTATCAGAGCCCAACTACAACTACCTAACATTGATATGGGTTCGTAGATTATTATTAATGTATCACAAGTATTTTTGAATCGTAACGCGAAATCGTAATATTGTCTATTACGTCCCAGAGTCTTTTGTCTAGCCTCATTTTAACGTGGTATCTCCTACATGTGATCATCAGGTCCATCCATGCCAGGCCCAGGGCCACCTGCTCTGCCCATCTGTCGAGCCTTCAACAACTCGTCACATAGGAGCAGGTTGGATGCGATGCTTGAGCTAGAGGCAATGCAATTTCGCAGAACTCGGTAAGAATCGAAGATACCCTCCAGCTCGGGGTCCATAGGCTCACCAGTTTCGAGGTTGAGACCAACGACGTTGCCGTCAGCGTACTCGTCTTGGAGATCCGCGACTACTATGAGTTAGCTACTGTATCTATTAGATTAGAAGAGAAGAACTTACGAGCATCCTGAATATCAAGGCCAGCGTTGGCAGCCAGGGTCTTAGGAATAATGAGAAGAGCATCAGCGAAAGCCTCAACACCCCACTTAGCCTTACCCTTGACAGTCTTGCCAAAGGCATCGCTCTTGAGGTGAGAGGCACAAGCAACTTGGAAGGCACCAGCTCCAGGAACAACAGACTTGTCGACAATCATGTTGTAGACACTTCGAAGACCATCTCGGACGGCATCTGTCACCTGGGCAATAGTGTGGGCATTAGGACCCTTGATCATGAGAGTAACTGACTTGGGGTCCTTGACCTCCTCGACGAATGTGTACTTCTCCTCTCCCAGAGTCTGCTCGTAGACGAGACCAGCGTAACCCAGAACCTCCTCGGACAAGTCATCGACACTGTTCTGGGCAACACCGCCACAAACAAGCTGAAGTCGCTCCATGTTTCTGCGCTTGGCTCGTCGGAGAGCGAGAATGTTGTTCTTGGCAAGGACGTCAAGAGAAAGGGGGTCAATACCCTTCTGGTTGATGACGACAAAGTTCTTTGTTCCATCGTTACCGCAGAGCTCTTTCTTGAGATCAACAATCTTCTTGAGCTTGGCATCGACAAAGCGACGCTCACTCTCAACAAGCTTATCACGCTGCTCGGCGCTGGAGTAAAAGAAGCTAGAGTTAATCTCGGTCTTCTCATACTCCAGGCTGACGTTCAGGGTAAGGATGTAACAGTTCTCGAGTCGCTTAGGCATATCGGGGTGACGAGCACCGTGATCAAGGGCCAATCCGCGGATCAAGCGAGTGTCGGCAGCTGTTCGGTGCTGCATCTTCATAATCTCAACCATGTGTAGATCGGGCTTTGCGGGCTCCTGGTAAATAGCAAGAACGGCATCGACAATATCGGGAGTAAGCTTCTGGGCCAGGGTGGCGTTGAGCTTGGTGGTGAGCGAAGTACGGGCGACACTGAGGAGGAGTTCTCGATCAACCTCCTTAGCGAGCTTGAAAGAGTCGAGGAACTGCAACGTTTAGTCGGAATACCAAAGCATTGGGACGAGGAATTCACCTTAAGAGCCTCGACCTTGGCAACCTCAAAACCATCAGTGATGATTCGAGGGTGCAATCCTTCTGAGATGTAACGGTCTGCCTGCTTAAGAAGCTCGCCGACCAGCATAACCACGGAGGTAGTTCCGTCACCGCAAATATCGTCCTGGGCAGTCGCTGCTCGGGCAATCATAACGGCGGTAGGGTTCTGTATTTGCATCTCACGGAGTAGAACGTTTCCATCCTTGGTCAACTTGATCTGAGGGTATCGGTCAGTTTAGGGGTCGTCGAGGGGCATTTTGATAGGTAACCGTACTTGACCCGCACCGTCAACAAGCCTGATAAATAGTTAGTTTTGAGCGAAAACGTTCAAGCCTGAGAAAGGGACTTACATCTTAATGGTGCCTCGAGGGCCCAAGTTGGACTTGAGGACATCCTGTAGACCTTCACCAGCACTGATATTGACCTTAAGAGCTTCGCCCCTCCTCTGCGACAACGGGGTTAGCAGGCTGCAAGGCCACTTGTCTGCGGGGGGTATTATTTCGACGTACTCGGGACTCGGCCTTTGGGTTGAGAAGTTGTGCAGCCGACATGATTGTAGATCTCTGCTGTTGGCACGGTGGCTATATTCGAGATCGAGAAAATCGAGGCTATGAAGAAGCGGTGCTGGTGTTGAAGGTTTCGCGATTTCGTAATCGCACAAGCTTGCAACAGCTGGTCAACAGGCAATAGCGGACAGGCTAGGCTGGGACATTTTTTCTGCCCCTCATGCCCTCCAAGGGGTGAAGGCGGTGTGGGTCAACCAGTCGGTGTACGAGGGGAATTTATAGAGGGGCTCGGTGAGAGTCCAATCACTAACGTCAACGAGCTGGGCCTACATTTAGATGCTGTCTGAGCTGCATATAATTAATTCCTCAACCCTGAGGAAAGACGGCGATTAGTGCTTTCATCAAAAATCACAGAATTCATGCAAGCACTTTATCCTCCTGTATTTAGTTCTTATGTATTTACTTTATGTCTACCAAAGTAGATCAACCACACCAGTGCTTCTTCAACATTGATACATGCATCGCCTCAATTCCATCCACTCATTTACACTCAGCACGATGTTTCTTCCAATCCCTCTTCTGACAATCTCCACAGCAGTATTTGACCTTTTGGCAGCGTGAACACTTCTTGAGCGTTATCCCTTCTTCATTCTCTGACTTTCCGCAACTTCTACATCGCTCGACTCGAGTTACTGGAGTTCCTTGAGGAAGTTCGGCTGGATTAATGACTTCCTCGTTGAACGGGACTGTGTAGGTTGGGCTGATTGCGATTCGAACAGCGTTAGGTGCCGCATTGGCCCACTCGGGCAGTGAAACAAAATCTTTAGGTAGACGACCGTTTCCGCATGAACACAAGACTTGCTCGCCATCTTTAGTGCTCAGTGGTATCGTGGCTCCTTTCCTCTTGTACTCGCATTTCTTGCCGTGAGACCAAGTGCGGCATCGCTCTACCATAGATGGGAGGGCCTTCTTCCAGAGTTCGAGTTCTGCATCATCAACGGCGACGCTGCCGCACTCAAGTTCCCTGAGCATGAGAAGGAAGGATTCCATTCGGCCTGATGAGATAAGATCCATCGTGAAAGGAATGACAGCCGCATCAAGAACCACGGAGGCTGCGTCTCCGTCAATTCTGATGGCTGATACGAAAACCAGCATATGAATACCGCCTCGTTCAGGGTGGTTGATGGCGAACAAGCCTGTCTGGCCACCCTGCAAGCCCGAAGCAATCATGAACATGGTGAAGATGGATTCCTTGAAGTTGACCGCTGGATCATGCGAGATGCCGCTTTCGTCACGTACGTTACGTAAGTGCTTCTCTCGGGTTGAGAACATCAGTGATGTCAAGGTTACCATCCACCGGTTCCTGTCCTCATTCTCTAGATCAAGAACTGGGAGATTATCAAGGTTTAGATGCGGCATGTTCAGACTTGCCGGTACGCCCGATGAAGAGATTACTGAGGGATAAATGAATCTCAATAACTCTGGAGAATCAGCTGGTTTTGCCAGTGGTACTATCAACTCGATGTAACCCGTTGTTCGAGCAACTCGTGACTTGATTCCATCCTTGGTGATGGGCACTGGAAATTTGAGAGGGCAAATAAGCTTGTCTTCGCCAAATACAATATCAAGAACAAAGGGACTCTGTTGACGAAACTCAATCGGAACCTTGTTTTTGAGAAGGTCCCTTCCTTTCTTCGAGGTTATATCCAAATGGCCTGTGATCGTGGTTATCGTAGACTCGGATGGTGGTATATCAAGCAACATCTTTGTCAACTTATCATCCTGGCCCTCGTTCAATGTCTTGTCGAGGGGCTTGACAGCTGCACACAGGACAGGATATGTGTGCTGACCAGGCAGGTGCTTTGTTACGAATAAGCTTGATCTGTCGTCGATTCGCGTCTCAAAGACGGTCATGGTCATTCCAAGGATAGGTCCAAAGATGACTGAGTTCTGTCCTGTTGGTGGGACACATAGACCTACCAGCGCCGACTTTGGTTCATTCTGTAAAGTTGATGTAGGAACGTAGAAAGATGCAATGAGAGGCGAGTCTCCGTCCCAACCAGCCCTGTCTCTTTCGATGGTGACTTGGAATTCATCATCATCTGGCATTTTCTTTGTTTCGACATTACCAAAAGCAATCTGGACATCGCCAAACATGTTTTGCCATGCTTCTGTCGCATTATGGCTGGACCGCACTGATCCAACAAGTGGTGGCGATACTATCTTGAAAGCCTTTTCCTTGTGCTTATACAATCGAGCAACAGCGTTCCGAGGAATCACTACCGTAACAGCGACTGCTGGTGGAAGTGACTTCCAACGATTAAAGCCTCCATCTTCTGAGATAGATCTGCTCTCCTGTATGATCCAAGGCTCGGTATTGACACCATGTAGATGAAGCTGGAGACAAAAGTCCTGCATACCATTACTAGCTAGCAGAAAGCGATGCTCTTGGGCAATAGAGTCGATTAACGCTGAGCACATGGTTGGCCATTCCGTCGCGACTCGTGCCATGACGAGTTTTAGCATAGCAGCGAAGCTTGCGCGATTGAAATGCCCGTACGAGTATGACCTAAAGTCCATACTTTGGGCTTTTGTAATGTTCTCAGCTTCAAACATATAGTCATAGAGGGGAGAAAGCAATTTTATCAGTTGCTTGGAGTCAATGTGAAGCTTCCCATGGCTGGCTTGATCTGAAAGCCAAGTGTTCCGCTTCCAAGCCAGCCGATTGCGCGTCTGCGTCTCTCCTTTCTTTTGGTTCATGAGCCCAATCAAGATTTCGTCAACGTGAGAGTCGGTCTTGGCGTTGGTCCAGTACTGCACAGGGCTAAACCCGAGCAGCAACGAAATGGTAGGTGCATGACCGCAGAGGAGTTTATCAAAAGTACTGTCCTTGGAATTTCCAGATTTGAGAAGCAGCTCTGTAAACAACGAGGCCCATGGCTCATCTTTGAGCAGGGGCCCTGCTGCGATAAGAATATTAATGGCTCCGATGTGGTCACACAGGTTCGATGTATCGATCATATCGAACGATGAAGGCCCTGTACCACCCTTGCCATATTCCTTCAGGTCCAATACTAGTGGGCGTGAGTCCCAGGTCCTTCGGTAAAGATTGGCCGGTTTCCCTGTTGCTTGAGCGGTCTGGAAGCTGTGACAAAGAGTCAACGCATCAGCAACGGCAAATCGGATCAATATGTTCTTCTTCAGCGACTTGAAAGCCGAAATCCATTCATTGAACTGGGTTTTGGCGGCAGCCGAGGCGGGAAAGTCTTGTTTTGTGCCCTTAGGCTCTAGAGGAGATCCCTCCTGGAGAGCAGCATAAGCAGTAGCCAGATGAAAGCCCATGATGGGGTCACTGCCGTAATGAAGGAGGCTGTTTTCAGAGAGGAGACTAACGAGGAGTGGATTTGGTGACTTGTCCGTGGCATGTCGTGGCGTGACTGTGCCTTCTTTCCAGTACTCTCGGGACACTTCTATAAGCCCTGCGCCTGCCTGCAGAGATAGAGGTGCCGCAGAACGCATGGCCGAGATATTGGCGCCTCCTTCACCAAGCATCTCATCATGATGGTCCTTGGATGGCTTGATATTTTGCTGGAATGTCTCCATATAATCTCCCGACTGGCACTTAGCTGCTGCATTCTTGATGGTCATCCAGACACGTCGAATATCTGACAGAGTGTCAGCATCGCAAAACTTTATAGAATTTGCAAAGTTGCTGGTGTTCCATTCATCAAGGGACTTGGATGCCGTGAGCAGCTTGGTGGCGGTTTGCAGCACAGCAGCGGCAGTCTCCTCATCAACATAAAAGTGGTAATAGACATTCCAGAGCTGCTCATTGCTGAGCTTGCAGTCCTCGTCAAGGAGGAAAATCAAAAAGAAGGCATTGCGAGCTAGATCTTGTCAGCGGTTTTGAAGCGCTTTGCTGCAGTGTAATTCGCCTACCGATAATGCTCTCTGTAACATCACAGCAGGTAATGTCAATCTTTCTCTGGGCTACTTCAGTCAGCTACTAGATGAATGAGAGGCCACATGAGAACTCACGAAGTCCTTTCTCCAAATATGTTGTGTAAAGAACGTTGCGCAAGTCGCCACATCCTAGTGACAGAATATCTACATCTTGGCCGTGAGGAGCGGATCGGGTCAGGCTGGTTGCTGGGGTGTTTCCAGCAGCGTAGAGAAAGTCGGTTTTTACGGCAATGGTGGGCGTTAACATGATCAATCAGCGTCGAGGAGACAATCCTATAGCTAATTGCCAGTTATTATGATAGCGATGTTGAGGGGAGGAAGGATTAATGAAAGTGGTGGGGAAATTTAGTTTGTATTGAAGCATGAGCCAAGCTGTGATCGATAGGTAGCTGCGAGTGAGTGGAGAATAAACGGCACCTGTGAGACGTTGGGATCTTGACAATTAACGTTGGTACACAAAACATAGAGAAGGGAAATAGTACAAACACTAAGCAATTGATGGATTTGAAAACGTAAATTGTACCTAAGAAATACATAGCGAAAAGTGTGTATAATCAACCTGCTATAACATGCACTGCATATACAACAGTCCTACCACCTCAGCCTCTCAACAGCACTTATACATCGACTCTCAGTCATAGCACGCACAACTAGAAGTCGAATTTCAATACGTTTCACACCAAAAGAAACAATAATAGTCGTCAATGAGTATCCCATTGGTAAACCCTAAGCAAAAGCCTCAACCCCAAACTCCATCCAGGCGGTCCAAAAGGGGTGTACGACACCCAACCGCGTTGAGACCTTGGCTTTCTAACAATTTCCAATTCCCAAAAACCCATAAAAAGCTCCATATCCATTCGCCTTTCCCAATATTTGGTCCCAAAAACCAAATCCTGATGCTGATGTTGAGGAAAAATCTCCCCAAGTGTAAATAAGTCCAAACCTCATGCCTTTTCGTGACCTTCTCGACCCCATCCGTATCGTGTTGTACATAACAAGACATGACTTGCGGTTATGCGTGCATATGCATCGATGCATGGCTGCGTAAGCGTGAGCGTCGTGAATAAAAAAGGAGAAACAAATAATAGGTAATAATAAAAATGCCACGCTGATGGTTGCTTGCTTGCTTGAAAACAAAGGCGCAAGCTGGCAAATATTATCCAAAATGAAGAATAAATAAAAGTAAAGCACGCCGACGCTGATTAGGTTACGAAAGGGCTTTTTTTCGCTTGAGCAAAAAATAAAACAATGACAATCCCAATGCGTGGGGCGCAAGCTAGTTGCTGCCAAAGAAGACGTCGTTATCATTATTGGCAAACATGCTGCTTTCAAACTCATCATCCTCAAACTTGCCCATGGAGAGCATATGCGAATCGCGGTCCAGCTGGATAAGACCATTGTCTCCACCGAACTGCAGCAAAAGGTCGTCTGCACTGCTCATTCCCAGGGGAAGGGTAGCAGCCATAGTCGCCGAGGTGACATAGGTGGATGTACCCGGGATAGCGGTTAGGTCGTCGGTGTTCATCGAGTTGTTTTGTTCAACCTCAAAATAGTGGGTGCCAGGGGGGGATGATGATTGTGACAGCTCAGGGGGGGTGTTGTATTGGCTCGCGGCGCTCTTGGCGGGAGATGCAACGTGCATGGGAGTACCGTCCATGATAGCTTCAGGGGAAACGTAAGAGTGGGCGCTGACAGCGGATGGTGAGGAGGCATACTCCTGGAGAGCTGCAGCAGTGAGGCCGGTCATGGGTGCTGAGGAGACGGCGGCAAGGTTCTGGCTTTGCGAAGGCATTCCCATATCCATCATGTCGTCAAGCATAAACTGATCTGGTGAGGTTACGGCTGAGCTGTCCGAGCATGCAGAGAAAGACGACATTGAGCTGATAGACATGTTCTTCTTGCGGGTTCTAGCCGACTTGTCCATGCGGGTCTCGATATCAGGGCGGCTCTTTTTAGGAGGTCGACCTCGCTTAACAACCTTACGCACGACATTGTCGAAAGCGCCAATACACATGCCTCTCTGACGGTGTCGAGTGAGAGCGTCGTGGCGAGCGAAGCTGTTCCCGCATTCACAGGGATAAGGCTTGATTCCAGTATGAATCTTAGCGTGTCGCTTAAGGTCGTGTTGCCTGACGAAGCACTTCTTGCATGTGGGACACTGGTATTGGCGGTCGTTGAGGTGAGTCTGGACGTGCGACTTAATGTTCTCCTTGCGACCAAACTTCTTACCACAGTCCTCGTATGTGCATGTCCACTTGCCGTCACCTGCATCAGGGCCGCTGATGAACTGAGCGATCTCGTCCTGAGTCACACCGGTCTCTGTCTTGGTCTCCTCAATGTTGATGCTGGCAATGCTGGCGGCGCTAGCGATGCTTGCAACAGATTCTGTTCGGCGGTGAGGAGAGTGGCGACGGGAAGGTGTTTGGGAGGGTGTGCCAGAGATGGATTGAGCGTTCATGGGGTAAGGTCTGAGGTCGATAAAGTGTGACATGTGGGGTGTGCTGGGAGTGATATCGAGACCGTGGATTTCTTGACGGCCGAAGCCGTTCTCGATCTTCATGAACTCGTTGTTGAAGTTATTCATGTTCATGTAGTCAGGAGTCGACATTGGCAGTGCGTGAAAGGATGACTCGGAAGCAGAGTCTGTTTGACCTTGGCTAGACATGTCCTGCTCAGAGTGTTGTCTAATGTCCTGGAAGATGGTCTGGACCCTTCGGTTTCCCCCACGGTTCCTGACGGGCTTGATAGTCTCTTCCATAGACTCATCGTAGTCATCAGAGAAGCGACTTGGTACTGGCTCGTCCTTGACCAATCGGTCTTGGGAAGTCTCGGTGGGTGTAGGGGGAAAGTAACCTTTCTCCAGGTTAGTCGTGGCGGCCAGTGGCATCGTCCAGTTGAAGGACTGACTTTGTGTGCTGTGGCCCTGGTTCTGGTTCTGGCTCGGAGGAGTCGCTGGTCTTGCTGAGTCCAAGTTCTCGAACTTGTTGACACGGTCCAAGATGCCGCCGCTTATCCTCCGCGAGGTCCTCCTTGTGCTGGAGGTGTCACCTTCAGAGGCCCAGCCCTGGGCGGAGGACCCCTCGGAGGGAAAGGTCATAAAGGATGGTGTCGAAAGAGCACTGTCATTGTTAAAAAGATCAAATTCCTTACCTCCCGACAAGTTGTCGCCGTAAGCTTGTTGGCCTTTGCTCATCATCACGTTGAAGTCTGTGTTGTAAGTATCAAAGGGAATTGAGTTTGGGTCAAAGCAGGACGGGTCGAATCGCTGTGTCTGAGGAGTTCCGTGGGGTGACATGAGATAGTTGTCGCTTGCACTAGATGCCAGGTTGGCGTAAGGGTTCTGTGTGCCCGGGCGTGCTTGTATGCGTTGCTGCTGCGCTTCTCGCAGTACATTATGCTGCGGATAATGGGATAGTCCTGTGTTGTTAGTATTTGTACCTACCATTTGGTTCTGCCTTGTTGGTGTTGTTGTAGTTGCTGGAGATGCCGCAATGTGTTGTCTTCGAATATCGAGACTGAGGCCGCGTCGGTGTGCGGTTTGTCGTTGTGCGGTTGGCAGATTGGGGATCTTAGCACCTTCAAAAGCAGTCGGTGTCGAGTTTTGACGCCGATGCTGCTTTTGTCGAGCATGAAGTCCTCCTGATAGATTGGACTGCATTTTATCGCAAGGGGAGTCCGGAATTGAATTGTCGTCGGTCGTTCAGTTGTCGATTGGAACCTATTGGTCCGAAACTAGAGCCATTGATAAGTCAATTGGCCTAGGTAGGCAATGATGACTATCCTACTTACCTCACACAGCGCAAGCACAGAGCGCCGGGCTACCGAAATAGTTTCTTTGATTCCAGTCGGAGTCGACTTTTTGCTTTATAAGTTATAGTGTAATTGCGCCTCTTTTTCAAGACGAAGGTTTTGATGAGATGTGATGCGATGCGATGCGCGATGCGATGAGGTGTAATAAGAATAGATGCGATTGATACAATTGATGCGCAAACAGATTGTTTGTTCTGTATCAGTATGTATGGAGTATGCAGCTTTGGTGCTAGATACGAGAAGAGTAGTGGGTAGCTTGCATCTTTGGGGTAGGCGCTCCAGATCTACTTGGGCAGATGTACAATCATGTAAACATATTCTGATCACCTGGGGCAACGTGTGCCACCAAATCCAGATTCACAATAGGCTCAGCCCACTTCCTCTCATCCTGGTACATCTTGGGTAGCTTAGCGGCTAAGTTGGTTAGTCGATCGGACCAAGACCCAGCTTCTGAGACGTGACCTGGACGACGACCATCCGTCTTACACCATGTTATCCTCGGTATCTGTCTGACATTGAGCTATTTTCAAGCTATCATCAGTGAGAGTGCTCGCCCTCTCCTCTTTTCTCGCCAAGTTAGTTAGCTACTTTCCTCATTCGATAAGCCTCCCAAGCCATTAACTTCAATCATAGTCTACGGTCTCAGCACTCAACACCACCGAGAGAGCAAAAGGTAAACAACTCAGTATACCGACATACTCTTCGGGAATAACATCATGTCTCTACTTATTCCCTGTTGCTACCATAACAACCTGGGATCATAGTAGCACATGTCTCAATTATAGCAACAAGGGAAGCCATGGAAAAAACAATCCTTGCAGCCAATGTAATGACGTCTTGTTTCAGGATCAACACAGCTCCAAAGCTAAGCTGTCTCACTAAACCTGGCCAGGCCGAAGCCATGCGTACGTCTTTCCATACCAGGTGAATGTGGCCCATTGGACAGTAATAAACGCCCAAAGGCTTACAACGGGCTTTTGCATTCCAGCCAAACAATTGACAGAGATATGCTGTGTCATAATCACCAATCCCATCGTCCAATCTGCAATTTGTTGCCTAGGTTCCCCCAGTCCATGACTGTACATTCTACCATTCAGCTCTTTAAGGTTGGTTGAGGCGTTCGTCAGCAAACAGAATCGCACTTGGCGTCTGACATCCCATCTTTGAGCTCAATTGGCATGTATGTGTACAGTTAGTAGAATCTTTACAACGAGTCAATTAACCTCGTGATGGCCTAATTGATCAACATGTTTCTTAACTCCACTAATGAGAGGCATCCATGTACAACTAGAACCGCAAGTTGCTTACACGGCTAGTGGGTAGTAGAAAAGTTGGCCTCCTAAGTCTTGGGGAGTAAAAATAAGTTGTCTAGGAACTATGGTCTAAAGACCATAAGCTAACCTAGTAATTTCATCTCTTATGCTTCCAGTGGTCAATTTTTCCAATACCTTGAGGCATGGCTATTTACATGTAGGTAGTCATAAATACCTAGCACTTAAACTTTACTTGAACTCCCCTTATCACTAGACCGTATTCTTTCGTGTTCTATCACCGCCTCAAACTTTCTATCCACACAAGTGACACACCTTGATAGTTGGGCATGAGACAACAAATAAATGTTTTACTGTTCATTAAATGAGAAAGGCCGCATGTGGCGGCTTGGATCACCAGAGTTGAAGAAAATATTAATACTGTAGGATTTTTGATTTTTTTTGGCCGAGTTCAGTTTTCATCATCGCTACCACACTGATGCACGTTACCCTGCACCTACTTTCTAATGATCCAATGTTTCTTACCCGACATCTACACAACGATCTATTTACATTGTGAGCTCCGTGTCCTGATAAGATGAATTCCTACGCCGATGAGATTCAACGTTCTTGACGCTCAAAACGGTGGCAACGTCAGTTGGGCGGTTTAACGGTCTGGGATAAGTAATTGTGGATTTCTTATTGATAAAAGTACTTATACAAGTGTATTTGTATTTTCTATATATAGTTAACTGTGGAATGGTGGATTCTGTCAATTTATCAGATATGGTCCTACAAGGCTTAATAGTGTCGGGTTGCTGCTCCAACTACTGCGATAGTCCATTCTGTTTGCGATAAATCTCATTAGATAACCGGGCCGCTGAGAAAGAAACTGAGAAGTACCAGAAGAGTTACCCGGCCAGTAGAAGCTTAAGAGATAAAATTAGCAGGCCACTTTATGCTATTTAGACTACTTCTTAGGCTGCTTATTCTTATATCCTAAGACTTAGGAGGCTAACTTTTCTACTACCTACTACCTTAGTAGGTATCTAGCAAGCTGACCGGGTTCTATGCTTGATACTCTCACAAGCATAATGCTTTTACTTCATATTTAGTAGCACAAAAGAAGTGTATCGTGCAGTATCCCTATGGCAGGCATCCGTCTGCCTAAATATTGTAAGCATATGAATTGGGCTGACGAGGCATGAGGCAGTTTTTCTGCAAGTCTGTCTGGGAAGCAAGAGAAACAATAGATTGTCAGGGTTATTGCCATTCAAAGACAGTTCTCAAGCTTCTCCTTGCCCGTTGTGAACATCATAGGAGGGTAACTGAGGTGGCCCAAGGACTTATGAATATTTGCATTAACTAACACGTTTCGTTCTTTGTGCTGACACGATAAAGTTATGTTTTCGACGCAGCAGAAATGTTACCTCCTAAGTCTTAGGATATAAAAATAAATAGCCCAAGAAGTAGGTAGAGTCTAAATAGCATAAAGTAACCTGCTAATTTCGTCTCTGAAGCTTCTAGCAGCTTTTTTGATACCCTGAGGCATAGGAAGGCACTGCTTAGCAGTTGCTAAACGCTCTTCCTTCCTGCACTTCTACTTCCCGCCAACAGCCAACAAGAAACTCGATCACAGGCCTGCATCCTCCCATTCATCTGTGGATTCATTCCGCTGCCCACAAACGTGATGAAAGAAGGCATAATCAAATTTGAGGGATGTGATGCACCCGAGAGAGAACGTGATTCACTCTACTTTGGGACATTCCTCTTTCGACTTGACCGCGCAACCGAAGCCGATGCAACTGGCGGAGGCAGTATCCCATACAGTGGATATCAGCGCGCCTTGCAACTCTATGGAAATGAGAATGCCTTCGATTTGAGTCATGCACAGAAGCGTAATCTTCTGGATTGCAAGAACCTGGAGATGAACCGGTCGATTGCTCGAAAGGCCGGCTACGACCCTGACGCAGGCAGAAGTGCGCCGTGGGCAGGAGTGTACTTCTCCGGCAGACACGTCCTAACATACCCCGGTCCTATCAAGACTCCCTTTGAGCAACCTCATCAAGGACAGTTTGCCTGCGAGAAACCCACGGCGGAAGAGGATCTCACGACATTCTCTGACTCTGGAACAACCATGGCTCTCGCACGCACCACTGAAGATCAGCTTGCGAAGTTGCACGATCTCATCACCGGCTCGCCCATCAAGCTACACTCTGCCTTGTGTGCCAGGCCTCCTCTTCTCCTCAGCACGGACAACAACGACCATGAACTCTACGAGCACCACGAGCATCATGGGGACCACAAGGACAACAAGCCGACAACTCTTCGAGGTATGAGTGGAAGCCGTGTACCAACAGCCAACAACTTCGCAAGTACTTGCGTTGGCGGCATGGAAATGGCCGTCGTTGTCACCGAATTGCTCGAACGCGTTGTCAAGGGAGACCTCAATAATGAATGGAAAGAGACCATTATGGAGACACTCGATTACATTGGAGGGTCGGAAAATATGTATGCTTTCCTTGATGTTGTGTACAAGCAGTTCCCAAAGAAGGTAGAAACTTCTCCAGCCTCAACTATTGGCTGCGGTCTACGTGGCTCAAATTGAAGTAAAGGCAGGCAGACGGCCGAGAACGTTGAAAAGCCGGTAGGGATGAAGGCGGTATAGGAATCGAGAAGGGATGTATGCATAATAGCACGGGCCCATGATGTGCAGACAGTTCGGGTTACGATGGACCCTCCCGATGAACTATAAGCAAGATACATACGATATTATGCGGGTCATGAATGGGATGGAGATGCATATCATAGAGTAGTCCAGATCCCTGAAAAGAATGTTATATCAAATTCGAGGGTTCGTGTTGGTCTTTGAGGAGAGAGTGCTCTCTGGAAAAGTTGTCTGATCAAGCGGTGAAACGGTTTCTAACGACATGTGATTGGTCCACATCCACTACAGAGTCAACACCTCCTAAAAGAGTTACCACAACAACCTTGAAAGTCCAGGGGCCAAGAGGACGTACCAACCATCCTTGGAGCTCAAAGAGTCACTCACCTTAAACACTGTCACCCGATTTCCTCCAGCCGCAGAATATCTCGCCCACTGCGATTGGCTGATCCTCGATTTTCCAAGGTTCTCTCCAGCCAGGGCAGAAACTCACCTTTTATTGCATCTTCCTGCCGCCGACCCTCTTTTGCCTACAGCGAAACAGAATAGCAATAGTCCTTTGGGCTGCGACGATAAACCGGACCGACTCCTCTTGTCTCGTCCTCGTTCCATCTGCCGCCATGTCAGGACATTCTCACAACACTCACAGAAGCACGCCCAACAAGGGCCGTGGTGCAGTTCCGTTTGCCAACAGTCCCAGCGGCGGCGGCGGCGGCGGCGGTAGTTCTAATATTCCTCGTCCTGTCCTCGAGCCCACACCGCCTACCGAGACTGGATCTACTTTCAGTGCGAGTCGCCAGAAGCAGAGCAAACGTGATGAGGTTCGTCATGATTTACCTCTCCCCGCTATCTTGGATGCGATATATATCTCGAGAAGCTTCGAATTGCATAACAAGGCTGCTAACCTTTGGCCCAGGCTATCCGAAAGAAGCTCGAAAATGACCTCTCGAAGAAGAAGCACCTCACAAGTCGAGCTCGCCACTCTCGCAAAGCTCCTCCCGGCACTGTCCTTGCCCTGAAGCCCAGCCAGGCCCTCCAGATCAAGCCCGGCACTACTGTTGCCGAGGCTGCCCAACTGATGGCAGCAAAGCGAGAGGACTGCGTCCTAGTTACCGACGATGACGACCGAATTGCTGGTATTTTCACCGCCAAGGATCTTGCGTTCCGTGTTGTAGGAGCTGGAGCCAAGGCCTCCGCTGTCACTATCGCCGAAATCATGACCAAGAACCCTCTTTGCGCTCGAACCGACACCAGCGCCACCGATGCCTTGGATCTTATGGTTCGAAAGGGTTTCCGCCATTTACCAGTTATGGACGAGAACCAGGACATTTCTGGTGTGCTGGATATCACCAAGTGTTTCTACGATGCCATGGAAAAGCTTGAGCGTGCCTACTCTTCTTCTCGAAAGCTCTACGACGCTCTTGAGGGTGTTCAGTCTGAGTTGGGTTCTACACAGCCTCAGCAGATCATCCAGTACGTCGAAGCTCTGCGCAGCAAGATGTCCGGACCTACTTTGGAAACCGTGCTCAATGGTGTTCCCCCCACCACCGTTAGTGTGCGAACCTCGGTTAAGGAGGCTGCTCAGCTCATGAAGGAGAACCGCACAACTGCTGTCCTGGTTCAGGATCAAGGTGCTATTACGGGTATTTTTACCAGCAAGGATGTCGTTCTTCGAGTCATTGCCCCTGGCCTGGACCCCGCCAACTGTAGTGTCGTGCGTGTCATGACCCCTCACCCCGACTTTGCACCCATGGACATGACCCTCCAGGCCGCCCTTCGCAAGATGCATGGTAAGATATCCGAATTATCCTATGAGACGCCGCTAACAACTTCCAAGATGGCCACTATCTTAACCTGCCTGTTATGAATGATGGCGGCGAGATCGTTGGTATGGTTGATGTTCTCAAACTCACATATGCCACTCTCGACCAGATCAATGCCATGTCCAACAATAACGACGAAGGTCCTGCCTGGAACAAGTTCTGGCTTTCCCTCGACGCCGAGACTGAATCCATGATGTCAGGAGAGGGCAGCCAAGCTCAGCACACTAACCTTGGTTCTCGTCTTACATCCCCGGACATGGTCCGTGATCGTCTCAACGACACTGTCGCTCCCGGCGATTCGGCCTCTCATGTTGGCATGGAATCGCCTCCCCGCTCCATTCTCCCTGATGTTCTTGAGCATCAACTCCCTGAAGAACTCCCCTTCCCTTTCAAGTTCAAGGCCCCCTCTGGTCGAGTACACCGTATGAAGATCATCGCTACAGACGGCATCGAAGCCTTTGTTGAAGCCATCGCCTCTAAACTTGGTGCTGAGGCAGACAACATTGGCGGAGTGCCTCATGTGGAAGACGGAAAGATTGTTGGTGCTGGTTTTGCCCTGAGCTTCTTGGACGATGAGGGAGATTCTATTTCAATCACCGCCGATCATGATTTGCTCGAGGCCGTCATCCTTGCTCGCCAAGCTCATCACGACAAGGTTGATCTCTTTGTGCACGATCCCGAGAAGCCTCCCGTCTCTGCAGCCGACCCTAGACATCCTACTACACCCTCCGTCTCCACCGGGGCTGGTCTCCGTGAGCGCCGTAAGTGGTGGCCGGAGGAGGAGGAGGAAGAGGACGATGATGATTCCGAGGATGAACATCCCGCACGGAGACGTAAGAGCCGTGCGGCGCATACACATGCACATGCACATGCACATGAGGAGCAGATCATCGCCGGCGTGCCCAATGAACTGATACTTCCTGGCGCGATTGTCACATTGGCGGTTGCTATTGTAGGTGTCTTTACTATTGCAAGGCTTACTAGCCGGTAAAGTTACCATTGACTTTCCTCATAACGACATGATGAAGACGGGGCGCTGTTTAGTTGTAGATACACAGAAAGAGAAAGAAGTGCTTTATAGTAGAGATTACCCTTACCCTTTGCAGGATTAATTGAATTTTCTTTGTTAAAAAAATCCCATCGACTTGGCTCCCTGTATTGTGAAATAATCGTTCAAGTTGAATCGCAAGGTTGAGGTCAGTCGGGTCGGAAAATCTGTGCATCCGGGACCATCCGCCATAGCCAAATTTTGGCTACCGTAGAACGACAGTTACGACAGTCGAGTAATCCGCAAGTCGTCGCCATGATCCTGAGGAACGCCCCCGTGCGGCATTGTGAGTCAACTGAGGTGCTGCCATTGAGAATATTTCGCTGACAGAGCCAGGCCGCCACACAATGGCGTATCCCATCTCCAGATCCATCCTCAGGCGAATGTCCACCCAGGTCACCACCAAGACTGAGGCTGCACCTGAGGCGAAGGAGTGGACGACTTCTCAGGCCACTGCCACTCCTCCCAAGATTGTTTCCGCGGCACGAAAGAAGCAGCGTATTGTGCAGGACGGTATTCTATCCCTCAGGACAAACTCTGCGCACGAGCACAGGGTCTCAGCATGGACGACACCCAACAAGAACTCGAACTCTGCGACTCCGGTGACGCCTGCTCAGCAGTACAGGGAATGGCAGCGTATTCAGGCCAACACGCGAAGCCTCGGTTCAAAGCTTGTGAAGCGATATATCCCCACCGAACTTGTCAACAACCCACCAGGACCTGAGGATATCACTCTGGAGCTGTTGCTGGCTTCGCAAACGCATATTGGACACAAGACTTCGTTATGGAACCCTGCAAACTCTCGTTACATTTATGGTGTTCGTCAGGGGGTGCACATGATCTCTCTCGAAACCACTGCGGCACATCTTCGACGAGCGGCTCGTGTGGTGGAGGAGGTTGCTTACAAGGCTGGTCTGATTCTCTTTGTTGGAAACCGCAAGGGCCAAATGGAGATTGTTACTCAGGCTGCCGAGATGGCAGGTGCTTGTCACCTGTTCACCAAATGGACTCCTGGTGGCATCACCAACCGAGATGTCATCTTGAAGATGGCTGGTACAAAGGTTGTGAACCACAAAGACGCGGAGCTTCCTGGGTTTGAAAACTACAGAGGTTCAGCTCGACCATTGATGCCTGATCTGGTTGTTTGCCTGAACCCTCTTGAGAACTACACTCTTTTGTACGAGTGCGGTCTTAAGAGTATTCCCACCATTGGTGTCATTGACACCAACGCTGACCCATCATGGGTGACTTACACCATTCCTGCCAATGACGACAGGTAAGAATCCATAGATACCCCGTATTTTCTTTATACTAACATATGCGCAGTCTACGAGCTATGGCTGTCGTTAGTGGTGTTCTAGGCCGAGCTGGTCAACGTGGTTATCAACGACGAATGGCAGATGCTAAGAAAGACAAGTCTACTTGGCAAAACCCCCCTGATATTGTCCAGCACATGAACCGTGAGAGGAAGGTGGCTATTGCCGAACGCAAGAACGTTATGGGTCAAATGCAGCACAACCTGGAGGGCTTCAATGAGGAAGAGCAGAAGATTCTACGGGAACAGTTCTACGGAGAGGAGCCCGAGGTCACCGACAGTGACCTCATTAAAGCGATGGCAGAGACAGCCTCGGAGGACGTTAAGCCTACCGCTGCTGACTCGACATCGGACTCCAGGCTGACCAGCATTGAGGAGGAGCTATCAGGTCTCAAGGCTGCCGCTGAGGCTATTGAGGCTCAGACACACTCTGCTACCAAGCCTACAGAGCCAATTCCTGCTTCCTCTGAACAGCCTGTTATCTCCGAGGTAGTCGTTGAAGCTCAAGTCGAGGCTCAGCCTACCGAGTCATCACCTGACTCAAGGTTGGCGAGCATTGAAGAGCAGCTATCAAACCTGAAGGCTGTAGCTGAGGCCATCGAGGCTGAGGCGCAACCTGCTACCAAGCCTGCAGAGCCAATTCCTGCTTCGCCCAAAGAGCCTATCGTCTCCCATGTAGTTGTTGAGGCTCAGGTTGAAGCCCAGGCTGAAGCTCAGGTCGAAGCTCAAGTCGAAAGCCAGATTGAGACTCAGCCTG